AAATACGAAGCTTTGCTGTCTGGCTGTCTGACGGGAGGGAGTGAAGGAAGGAGCGACGGAGGGACGAAATTCTAACGTATTAGCACGGTATGGCTACGTACGGTGCGAAAGAAGTTCAACACACATACACATGACGTGCGGGCTGCTGGTTGTAATAAAATAAAATAAAAACGCAATCGTACTAGCGCGGTGAAATGTCAGCATCGGTCTGGAGATTCGCTCTGTGACCCCCGCCACTTCCCCCCACTATCAACCCCCCCCCCCACTATCACCCCCCCTCTCATCTCCCCACCCCCCCTCTCCGCCCATCTCCCCCCACCCTCCGCCCCTCGGGGCTTCACATCGCGTTACGGCCCCGCAGCGAGCGAGGCGGTCGTGAATCGAGGCAATTTGGTTTCTCGCCAGTTCTGGCCGTGCACATAATAAAGAGCGGCGTAAATCCGAGAGAGAGGCGCATGAATTCTCCCCCCCCCCCCCCCGCCTAGAAACAGCGGCACAATGGCATCTCCCCCCCCCTCCCACTCCTCTCTCCCTCCCTCGCTCGCTCGCTCTGCGTGTAATTATTCGCGAGATAATTACGCGTTGCCCCGGCGAATTATTTCCGATCTCTTGGATGTGTTTTGCGTTGTTTTCAGCCGCAGCAGCGCCTCGGTTGTGCAGAGCAGCGCGGAGCTTTTTCTGGAGTGCCCTTCCTGGGCCAAGAGGAGGGGGGAGGTGTAGAGACATGGACAGATTTTATTTAGAAAAGAACGCACGGGGCACGTTGAGCAACAACTTACTTCTGTTTCATCAAACCCGACGTATGTATTAACGTCGTTACACTTGTTTTAAAGATTGAGAACCAAAGGGATTGCAAGGCTGCAGCAATAAAGGTTCCGAACCGCTGCTGGAGAGGATTCGTCGTCTCTCCGTGGCATGGCGACGCCTGCGTTACCCCACCCTCCTCCGTGGACCGCGAGGGTGAAGTTTCGTCGTCGAAGGGTGCCGATGCGACTCGCTGTCGTTGAAAAACCGCTCCAGAGTTTAGACCGCGCGTTATTAATCATTAAAAAAATATATATATATTAGGGCGATCCCGAAGGTTCTCGACTCGATGTATAAAGTTTAGTTCATAATTATTGGATTCTTTGAAAACGCGTTGCGTGGCTGTGTGCATATTCGCGTTTGTGCGTGTGCGTGTACAAGCGTCTGTATGTATATATATATGTTTGTATATACATATGCTGTATGCGCGTGTGCGTGCATTTGTACGTGTGTATGTACGTGTAATAGGTTGCCTTCATTAGGTGCTCGCTAACAGTACTTGCCCCCAAAAGTCGGTCTCGGCTGTACGAGTAATCTTTGTCTTTGTAATTGGTGTGGATCGGTGGCGCAGTGGTTAGCGCTTCACTGCGCTACGGAGCCGGTCGACTCGAGTTCTATACGCGCTCACGTGCAACATCGTTTCACGAATATCTGGAACCGGTCGCCTAGGTCGACTCAGCCTTAAATGGAGTACCTTGTGCAGTGTGTAAACATCTGCACCGGGGAGACAAAGGTGACATGGTGTTGGCCACCCATCCCGTCTTTTGCAGTGTCCGCCTTCATTAGGTGTTACTCGCTCACCGGCACTTGCCCCCGACAACGTTTGACGGCTTTACACGTGAGATCTGCGGTGACGTCTCGTACGAACTGCGGCGTGCAAACCGGTGTTGCATCTGACATTCACTGCAGCCAATTGACCCACCTATAGCAGCTGGGGTGTGTGTCCGTTGACCTCCTTTTACCAGCGATCAGCCGCCGTAGATCCGCGGAGACGGAGCAAGGAAATCGGCACTCGCGCAAGAGCCTGATGGATCGCCACATCGCGATGACGACGGAATGGGGGAAGACTTCATCCACCAGTGGATAGATCGTGACTGACAGTGATGATGATGTTGAAAAAAGACAATGAGATGCACATCTGGACCGCATTCTTTAGTAAATTCGGGTTTAAAAAGCCATTTTCGCCAGTGTTTTTTTTATTTTTATAGATTTACTTCAATTCGCACAACGGCGATTATCAATTAATCTTAGGAGTAAAGTTTGTAAATATATTAGCAACTCAAAAAAAGAAATCAACATTTCTTTGAAAATATATTTCTAAAACAAGTTGTCTCCCTAATTTATCAAACTATTTGACAACATTCGCAACATTGCCGCTCGTGCTCCTCCAAGTGTTTTATTTTGTCTAAGTTGTTTTTGTGATCCCCGTGTGTGCTTCTCAGCTTTTAAGTGTCTGTATGTATATTTATGTATTTGTCTCTCTCTCTCTCTGTGTATATATGTATACGTCTATGAATATATGAAACCACGGAAACCCGAGTTCGATTCCCGGTCACGGCTCACAACATCAGTGGCGAGTTCTATGAAAGTTACATCTGAACCTGTCTTGGGTGTCCCCTGCACCATACTTAACCACTACTAGCGTGACGAACACGGCGTGGGTAGGCCTCCTTCATCCAGCAGTAGATTCACACAAAATCTGCATATAATTGTTATGTCCGTATGTGTTTATGTGTTGGGAGCGGTAGTGTAGCGGTTTGTGCGCTGCGCTACGAACCCGGCGACCCGAGTTCGATTCTCGCTCACGGCCAACACCGGTGACGATTATCTGAACCAGTCCTGGGCCTCCCCCTAGGTCAACTCAGCCTCAAACGAGTACCTGGTGCGGTGTGAAAACATTGCCACTAGGGAGACAAAGGCGGCCGGGCGTAGTGCTGGCCACCCACGCTCTCTCGTGTTGTGCTCCGTTACCACGGATCTCCCGCGTAAAATAGTCGACGAAAGCTGTCTAACTAAATCAAATAAACTTAACCTATCGGCCCATAAGGGCCACACATTCACATTTTGTCGACACGGCCCAAAACACGCATCACAAAACCGGGCGCAAACTAAATAAACGCGTTCACATCTTGCCATAGTTGCCTTTTGTTGCTGGCCGTTTGTCATTTATAATTTGCATACACTTGTAAGGTGGCGTCTTTAATTCGTAGGTCCCCACCAATGTTGTTGTGTTTAGTTTCGTTCTCCTTCCCCCGCGCAACCTCCGATTAGCGCGGTTTGCTACGCAGGGTGCGAAGGGAGTTTCACATCCACACGATGTGCACCTCCGTGTGTGAACAGCAGGAAATAAACAGAACCTGCTGAGTAAACGGCCAGAACTTGGGTGGGGTAAATGCCAATTCACCCACTCACTCACCAACCCACCAACCAACTCCCCTACTCATCTACCCATCCACTCATGCACTCATCCCACTCCCCTACTCATCAACTCACCCACTCACCCACCCACCCAACTCCCCTACTCACCCACTCACCCACCCAACTCCCCTACTAACCCACTCACCCACCCACATGCTCAGAACTTGCAGGGTAAACGGCCAGAACGAGGCTTTGGGATGAAGGCCAATTCAAAGGAGGTGGGTTTTCAAGACGGACTTCAAAATATAGCCAACGACTCGGGCTGTCTTATTGTCAAAAAGGCAGAGCGTTCCAAAGTCTGGGAGCGAGCTGCCCCGTTAGCGATGTGGCGCGGAGTGACAAATATAAATACAAAGACGGACGGACGAAAAAGCCTTCGGCGCAAACATCCATCCGCGTGAATTGGGAGACGCAGAACCCCCCCGTTTGCGAGCGAGGCTCTTGTGGGCGGGTGACCCGGGAATGAGTCGAGGACTCGCTCGGCGACGAACGAGCGTCGCGTGCCAGAGGCGACGCGATCCGTCAGCGGCGGTGGCGGCGTTTCGCTGGATCACGCATCATTGACTCATTAAGTATTAATGAACGTCCTAATAATGCGCGCTCTGGGTCTTGCGTGTTCCTTAATGAACACGCGCTTAATTACGTTAACGCCTCCATAAACGTGTCTTCAAACACAATACCCCCCCCCGCAACACTCCCTCCCCATCCCCCCCCACCTCCTTCCCGCTCTCACTTCTCTATCCCTGCCCATCCCTCCCACTCTACTTGCACGCACAAGCCCCCCCCTCCCCTCCCGCCGTATCGCCTTTAATAGACGTTTCGGGCAAGTGCTGTTGGCGAGCGTCCGTGCAGGCCGCAACGGCACACGCAGGGGGGCGATGTGGGCAGCACCACGCCCCGACCGCCTTCGTCTCCCTTGGTGGCGATGTTTGCCTCCACGCCTGTACCGGGTACTCATTTAAGTCCGAGTCGATCTAGGGGGAGGCCCAGGACCGGTGGCGACAACCGCCACCGGTGGTGTTGACCGTGAGCGGGACTCGAAATCGTGTTGGGCGGGTTTTCATGGTGCAGGCGCGCTAACCCCGAACAACCATCCCCATGTAGCACCCCGAAACACTCGGCGCTGCCGCGAGACTTCATAACCTCCAACCTCTCGGTGTTTGCTTCTCCATAGCCCCCGCCCCCCCATACCGCCTCATCCCAACCTCGTCAATGGACCCACAACCCACGACTGCGCGCGTTCGATGTCGCGAGCGTGACGAGAGGGCCGACGCGGAGGAGGGAGAGGGGTTAGGGGAGTGGAGGAGAGAGTGTGTATGAGAGAGAATGGGGAGTGGAGGAGATAGTGCGTATGAGAGAGAGAGAGAGGGGGAAGGAGAGAGTGTGTATGAGAGAGAATGGGGAGTGGAGGAGGAGGAGGAGAGAGTGCGTGTGTATGTGAGAGGAATGGAGTGGAGGAGATAGTGTGTATGAGAGAGAGAGGGGGAAGGAGAGAGTGTGTATGTGGGAGGAATAGAGTGGAGGAGATAGTGTGTATGAGAGAGAGAGGGGGAAGGAGAGAGTGTGTATGTGGGAGGAATAGAGTGGAGGAGATAGTGTGTATGAGAGAGAGAGAGCGGGGGGGAAGGAGAGAGTGTGTGTGTGAGAGGAAGGGAGTGGAGGAGATTGTGTGTGTGTCTGAGAGAGAGGCAAGGAGTGTCCACGTGTGTGTCTACGCGAGAGGGAGGGACTAGAGGAGTGTGTGTCTATGTGGGAGGGCAGGGGGGGAGAGAAAGAGAGGGGGGTGAGAGAGAGAGTGGGCGGGTGCGCGGATGACAGATTAGAGGAGGAGGAGGGGGGAGATGTAATCGCCTCCCAGGCCGACATGGAGCTTAACTCCCGGCGCTGTTGACGCCGGCGCACGACAACACGAGGGATGACGCCGAGCGCGCGACCCCGCGAGCCCGTCCCCTCACCGGGACCAGAACCGCCCCGCGAGAATCTCAGTGGCAAAGTTTTTGCGCCATAGGAGCCGCGACTCGCTTAGGAGGAGGAGGAGGAGGCGGCGGCGTCGTCGGTGGCGACTCGTCGACAGCGACGCTGCTGCTCCAACTGCTGCTTGTGCTTTCGCTGCGAGTGAGACTTCCGCAGACCGTCTGCCACCTCCGTCGAGTCGTCCGTCTCCGTCCCGTCCGTCCTACCTCCCTCTCCGTACCCGATGGATGCCGTGCGCAGGGACCTGGCCATGCTAATGTCGGAGCAGGCGCTCGCCGGGCACAAGCTGCACCAGCCTCGGCCGCGTTGCGCGCCGTCCGCCAGCCCCGACGCGGAGCGCCTCGCTCTGACTCCGCCGCACGTCGCAGCAGCAGGAGGCGGCGGCGGTGGTGGTGGTGGTGGAGGGGGTTTCGTGCGGCTGAGTCCGCGGGCCGCCTCGCTGCCCGGAGCCGCTCTCTACCCGCGCGACGCGTCCGGGCCGCAACTGCAGAGCGCGTTCCGCGCTGCGTCGCAAGTCGATGGCGGTGCCCTGCTGCAAATCTTCAGGCGTCACCGCGAGGCCGCCAGTCCCGACCGCTGCGCGCTGCGCTCCCCGAAGCGCCCCGGCCGAGGCGGCGAGCCCGCGGGCCTCGGAGAGGCGATTTCCTCCTCCGACGACGACGAAGACGGGGCGATGGTCGTGGAAGAGGAGCTGGAGGTAGGATGCTCGTCCCCCGAGTGTCCGGCGCCAGCGGCAGGAGGAGGAGGAGTGTCGGCTGGCGTAGGCCACCAGCTGGCCGCCGGCTACCCACGCAGCGTGAGCCCCGGGTCCGCAGGTGAGAGAGGATCTCGAGGTCCCGAGACATCGGAACGGAGGGAGGCTTCTCCGTCTTGCCGTGTTAGTGTGGCGCTCGTGCAGTGGTCAGCGAGGGGAGGTCGCGAGCAGGGCCCTTGGCACCAGCGTTGGTGGAGGAGCGGCAGGAGCAAGCCATGCGCGTCGAGTGAGAACGCGTGGCGACTACAAGACTCTTGGTGGTGTTTTTGTTTGTTTGTTGCGAGAGTCGCCCTGGGTCACAGGAAGCCGATGACCAGACCACAGATATTTTTTTTATTTTTACGGAAGTTTGGAAACCTGAGCTAATAGATATAAAGATTACAAAATGCGAATAAAATAGTAAGAGGAGATGTATTAATTATTTGGTGGGGGTTTAGATTGGTGAGGGACTACAGAACATAATCACGTGCTGAGACCCAACGGTACTTTCCTATAGAATTCAATAACAATGACTAGACATATATATAATTTTACACACTCGTCATCTATCTGTGGCTCTACTGCTGGACGAATGCTTTCCCATGGGGGATTGTTTTAATCCACACTTCATCACGCCGGTCGATGCTTCTTGGTTGGTGAAGGGCTCGGAGCGAAGGGGAGGAGGGTATACGAACCAAGTTCAGACATCGCTTCGGTTAATGTATTCATCACTCTGGGGTAATCGCTGCACGGCACCGAACGAGTATCGACGATGTAAGGTAATTATAACGTGCTGCCGTGTTCTGAACAGATGTGCGCGTGCACGTAGCTGGTCAGAGATTCAAACGATTAATCATGGAAAGAACCCATGCATTTGACACGTGGGTTATCGCGACCGGGGATTTGATATTGGTGGCTGTGTCGGGTAGAGGAGGAGGAGGAGGAGGTTATGTACACGACACATAATTTACGTTCATACGGTGTGACCCAAAAGTCAATTATGAATAAAACTCATTTGAGTTACAACAATGGGAGTGGTGATGTATAATTGTGCGATAGCCCAAGCTGCATTTGACGTAAAAAATAAAAAAAAATAACTCATGAGTTTATATATACAAAACACGTCTTATTACAAAGTTTGGCTGCGATTTATAGATTGTGTGCCCAATAATAACAGTCGTCGACGTGGCAATGTTCGTAATATTCATCTCGGTGATTCGAGGTTGAGGTCAGTGAGCCCGCATTTGTACGAATTACACACCGAATGATGTGGGTGGCTCACATTCGTATATTTATTTAGTCCGGATGTCTTGTGACCCCCCCCCCTCCCCCAATTTAATGTACCCCCTAGCATTTATATTTTTTTTCTTTTGCATATTAATTTATGTTTAAAAATCAACCTTCAAGTTGTTTTACGGTTTTTGAGAATCGAACGTGGGTCACAATACATCTGGACCACCTTGTACAATAGCGCATTGAAGTTAATTGCAACCTTACCACTATATATATACACACACACACATGTATAATTTTCTTCGAAAATGGAAATTGTATATTCATGTTTCGCACAATCGTGCGGTAACGCCTACAAATAATATCAGCGCCCTAAATTAAAAATCTAAAATAATTGTGTATTATATTATAAGCGGAGTTTCGAGCCCAATTGCTCTTCTCCATAGCGGAAAGCGAGAGAGAGGTGAGTCCGTGTACCCATCGGAGACAGATTCACATCTGTGACGAAACTAATTATTTGATGATGATGATGGCGAGATGTTAACTACCTCGCCTGGCATACAAGAAGCCGTGGGTTCGATCCCGACCCTTGACGACTGTTGTATATTTGGAGTTTGCATGTTTTTCTTCCCGTGGTCGCGTGGATATGTATCTGGGTCCGCCCGGCTGCTATGAATGTCCACGTGATGAGAAGCCACTTGGTTGAGCTATCATTTGTGGTCAGGACGATTCTGAAAAAGAGCTACGGAGCTCAGCGGGCCTTACCCTTTAAAATAACGAAAACAGTGTAACAGTTGAAATATATCGGAAGTAAAATTAAACAATGGCGATAAACCCATGCAGGGACTCCTCAACTCCAGTCCCCGCCGCCCACCACCACCACGCTACTTCGTCTTTCCGCGTTTATCACTTTAACCCTCTCCCATTCAAATACAAATTAACTCGTCCCACGCTGCACGCGCCCGATGATTGTCAAAGACGTCACACGTGGCATGCCGCGCACATGTTGAACACACGCACTAAGAGATCTCGATCTCAATTTGAATCGGCTCTATTAACGTATATAGCGTTAATTGCTTCGAGCATCACGTGGGGCGTGTTGTAACAATCATCGGGCGCGTGCAGCCTGGATCGATTTTATTGTATTTGAACGACGAGTCAATTGGTAAACGCCGAAATACGTAGCGTTGTGGTGTTGGAGGAGCGTGGTGGTGGTGGTGGTAATTTGAAAAGCCCTGGTCGAAAACGAGGCTCCCATAGCGGGCTGTCACGTCTCGCTAGCCCAGCACCCATCCCCCGCGCTCGCAGACTACGCACGCCTCCGTGCTACAGACTGCAGCTACCTAACCCGTACTACAGACTGCAGCTACCTAACCCGTACTACAGACTGCAGCTACCTAACCCGTACTACAGACTGCAGCTACCTAACCAGTACTACAGACTGCAGCTACCTATCCCATACTACAGACTGCAGCTACCTAACCAGTACTACAGACTGCAGCTACCTAACCCGTACTACAGACTGCAGCTACCTAACCCGTACTACAGACTGCAGCTACCTAACCCGTACTACAGACTGCAGCTACCTAACCCGTACTACAGACTGCAGCTACCTAACCAGTACTACAGACTGCAGCTACCTAACCCGTACTACAGACTGCAGCTACCTAACCCGTACTACAGACTGCAGCTACCTAACCCGTACTACAGACTGCAGCTACCTAACCCGTACTACAGACTGCAGCTACCTAACCCGTACTACAGACTGCAGCTACCTAACCCGTACTACAGACTGCAGCTACCTATCCCGTACTACAGACTGCAGCTACCTAACCAGTACTACAGACTGCAGCTACCTAACCCGTACTACAGACTGCAGCTACCTAACCCGTACTACAGACTGCAGCTACCTAACCCGTACTACAGACTGCAGCTACCTAACCCGTACTACAGACTGCAGCTACCTAACCCGTACTACAGACTGCAGCTACCTAACCCGTACTACAGACTGCAGCTACCTAACCCGTACTACAGACTGCAGCTACCTATCCCGTACTACAGACTGCAGCTACCTAACCAGTACTACAGACTGCAGCTACCTAACCCGTACTACAGACTGCAGCTACCTAACCCGTACTACAGACTGCAGCTACCTAACCCGTACTACAGACTGCAGCTACCTAACCCGTACTACAGACTGCAGCTACCTAACCCGTACTACAGACTGCAGCTACCTAACCCGTACTACAGACTGCAGCTACCTATCCCGTACTACAGACTGCAGCTACCTAACCCGTACTACAGACTGCAGCTACCTATCCCGTACTACAGACTGCAGGTACCTAACCCGTACTACAGACTGCAGCTACCTAACCAGTACTACAGACTGCAGCTACCTAACCCGTACTACAGACTGCAGCTACCTAACCCGTACTACAGACTGCAGCTACCTAACCCGTACTACAGACTGCAGCTACCTATCCCGTACTACAGACTGCAGCTACCTAACCCGTACTACAGACTGCAGCTACCTATCCCGTACTACAGACTGCAGGTACCTAACCCGTACTACAGACTGCAGCTACCTAACCAGTACTACAGACTGCAGCTACCTAACCCGTACTACAGACTGCAGCTACCTAACCCGTACTACAGACTGCAGCTACCTAACCCGTACTACAGACTGCAGCTACCTAACCCGTACTACAGACTGCAGCTACCTAACCCGTATTACAGACTGCAGCTACCTAACCCGTACTACAGACTGCAGCTACCTAACCCGTACTACAGACTGCAGCTACCTAACCCGTACTACAGACTGCAGCTACCTATCCCGTACTACAGACTGCAGCTACCTAACCCGTACTACAGACTGCAGCTACCTAACCCGTACTACAGACTGCAGCTACCTAACCCGTACTACAGACTGCAGCTACCTAACCCGTACTACAGACTGCAGCTACCTATCCCGTACTACAGACTGCAGCTACCTAACCCGTACTACAGACTGCAGCTACCTATCCCGTACTACAGACTGCAGGTACCTAACCCGTACTACAGACTGCAGCTACCTAACCAGTACTACAGACTGCAGCTACCTAACCCGTACTACAGACTGCAGCTACCTAACCCGTACTACAGACTGCAGCTACCTAACCCGTATTACAGACTGCAGCTACCTAACCCGTACTACAGACTGCAGCTACCTAACCCGTACTACAGACTGCAGCTACCTAACCCGTACTACAGACTGCAGCTACCTAACCCGAATCCCGGACGCGACAGTAAACCACTGTCGTCAGCGCCCCTTCTCAACGGAGGAGGAATAACAACACTACCCGAAGTCTCTCTCTCTGCTGAAGCCCTCTCGTCGTAGGCCAGCAGAACTCAAGACTTTACATTTACCTCCTAAACCACATTGCTGCTGCTGCTACTGCTGCTGCTAATGCTGCTACTCCTGCTACTGCTGCTGCTACTGCTGCTGCTACAACTGCTACTGCTGCTACTGCTGCTGCTACTACTGCTACTGCTGCTGTTACTACAACTGCTACTGCTGCTACTACTGCTACTGCTACTACAACTGCTACTGCTACTACTGCTGCTGCTACTGCTGCTGCTACTGCTCCTGCTCCCGCTGCTACTGCTAATACTGCTACTGCTGCTGCTCCTGCTGCTACTGCTACTACTGCTGCTGCTACTGCTGCTACTGCTCCTGCTGCTACTGCTGCTACTGCTGCTGCTCCTCCTGACATCGTCACGAAAGGAGAGAACGGCGCTGAGCCAAGATCGCTATCAAACGCGCGATCTTCGTTTTAATTCTTTCGAAGGTTCGCGTTGAACGAACTCCCC